CGAGGACATGGTAAACACCTGTTTCATTTTTGGTCAAACACTCTCTATTTCAACCAATACCGCCTAAAATCGTCGTCATTAGTGGGAGCGACGTCGCAAGCGACGCCCACTTTCGATTCACTTGCCACAAACCCGAATACAGCAGCATGAGGTGGAAGCACTCATCTTTTTCAAGGTAGAGACGCAGTATTTGCCCACCGGTAGCCTTCATGGGCTGACGACCTATATAATTAACCGTGCACACGTGGAAGTCGATAGAAATTTATTGTATTCTATTCTCAAAAATAAAGACAAACACCTGTGTGACATATATATGTGAATAATTAAAATGTATTAGCTATGTAACCCGGTTTGATGTGAAAAGGGAGTATTTGAGTGTTTCCGTGAAATGCAGCAGCAGCAGTCGCAGCAGTAAAACAACAACGAACGTACATCAACTAAACCGTTGGTCTCGTCACACTGACATTTGTACAATAATAATATCAATTATAATAATAATAGAGATGTTCTTTTATAAAGATATTTGCAATTACACAATTAAATGCAGATAACAACAATTGAGTAATAGGCGTTAGACGTCTTTAGAGATAAATGCGTTGACCCGTAATAAATCACTGGCAATTATCATTCATACATATACCTACCTAATGTCTCTAAGGTACTCTAAGATAATTTGAATAGATAGGATGAAAGAAAAACAATCGATATAGTATTCTAGACTAGTTGATGCTGTTCGGTGATCTGGAACACATCGTCATCGCTTCGGCCGTTTCGTTTCTTCGGTGTTGAGAAGGAAACGTCTAAAACGGAGTTTTCGTACAAACAGCATTCCAGTTATGTTCGGTGGTGTCATTCGTGCTATAACTGCAAGGTCCGGTAGGCTCGCACTGGCCAACTGACAGTTCTATGCCACTGGGGCAGGATAACTGATGCGATACTTCTCGCATAGAATAAAACTTCAATTTACGCACTACAATACTCAACTCAGTCTTTCAAAAACGAACGGGAAAAGGCCGCCATTCGTCGCCAAAGACGCCAAAAACTCAAAAAATTTTGGCTTAAATTTTGCCCATGGAGGTTTCTCAGTGCCGTGGTCACGAATATGACATCGGTTTTTGGCGCCAATTGGGCGCTGTTATATTTATCTCCGAAATGCAAATGAACTCTCAGAGGTCATTTGGTGTGACTAGGACATTAATGTTCGGCGCCGGCGCCAACTAAAACCACTTTGGCAGTTTGTGCTCTACTTACGGACCATCAGGTTTTATGCTATGGGTAACGATGTTCAGGCATGAATCTATAGCCGCTAAGTGACTCACCAGTAAAAACGAATGCAACAGAAACTATCGAGAAATCCCTGAACAAATTCTCTCCTCAGGAGTCCCACTGTACAAGTTTACCCGACTTACTGCCAGCTGGATACCTCGCGACCACTGTAAACCCTTGGGTGGCATATTGTTTCTACGAATCATCCAGACCGGAGTGACATCGAGCACAATCCAGAGATGGAGTCGTATTTGACCCCTGGGCGAGGTTGGGGGAGGGTGTGAGTCTTGAGATAAGAGTCAGTCACCAATAAGCAGTAGGTGTCATATTCCTGCTCAGAACTCGAAAAGCTCCAAATGCAGAGTTGTAGCGGGATTGCTGGGAAAATTCGTAGCAGCAAGTTGGCACTAAACTTATTCTGAAGCCACACAGCACCAGCGTTGGAAGAATGCTACATTCGCAATTTGGTAACACTGTTGTGCATGTTTACAACGATTTGAGTGAGGAAGTCTGGTGCGCCACGGCGGCGCCAACCGTCGGTGAAATGATAACGGCGCTGAAAACAGCTCTATACTCGTTACCAGGGGGGGGGGGGGTAGCGAAAACCAATACCGGCTTCTAAAACGAACATCGTGCTCAAGGCCAAGGTGCAGATTTTGTAACCACAAAAGACTAGGTTCGGACAAGAAACTTTGGGGGTTGCAACAGATGAACAATAAATCGCGACTGTTTTCTTAGTTACTTTTCTGAACCATGCACACATCGTTCCATTCAGCTCCCGCAATTCTACAAGATGGCTCCTTCATACTTAGAAAAACTCATTGCAGTTTGCCCTCCATCAAAGCATGAACATGAGGGGACTGTTTAGGCTACCCACGTTAGTTCGTTGACTCGAGGCGGTTGTAAACACACTTTCACAACCGTTAGGCACTTTCTTTTGAAACTTGCAAAACACTCACATCGTTGCCGATTAGCGTCGAGTGTCTCGTGAAGTGGAAGTACAAACGCTTCTGTTAGCCGACGAGCAGGAGTACGGTTGGGCTAAAAGTTCGATTCAATGACTAAGTTGCGACAAGTGTACATCTAGAAAGTAACAGAAATTTGTTACCACGCTCGGATCGTCTCGTCTAGGTGTGTCCATCAACTCGACGCTTTTATCACCATCGCTCTCGCTTTCTGTGGAGACGTGACGAGATTTCCGCCGGATGCTACGCCACATCCCGAACCCACTCACAGATCGGGCTCTCGGTGATGCAGCTACCTAAAGCTGACTACTTCAAAGTGCTTGTGTGTGTGAGCTAGTGGGCAAGATAAATTACTGTGAAGCGTTGTTACTGGCTTGTTCAATAAGGACAGCCAAATGGTCGAGACTGTGGGCCTACCTCTATACTATGGAGATCCCCGTTTTGAGTCGCTGCCAGGGCAAAAAGCATGCATTGCAAAAGTTTTCAATAATGGATTCCCGACAGTGTATGAATCACGGGTTTGTCCAGCTGGGTAGCAATAGAAGGAGCATGGAGAGTACAACGTCAAATGGCTCCCTCGCTCCGCAGGCAAAAGGAGTAGGGAGAATGCAGAAAAGATTGAACAGTCTTCCATCGTTCTCAATTATAAACGTAAAACGTGTGGGAAAACGGTCGGGCGCATGATGCTGTAGGAGCCAATA